AGACTTGCCCTGTCTGATATGGTAGCCACTAGCCACACATGGAACACTTGAAATGGGCTAGTCTGAATTGAGGTGTGCTGTAGTATAAACTGTACACAGGATTTCAAGGACATAGTACAAAAAACTATAAATTGTCTTAATTTTTATGTCAATTGCACATTGAAATGGTAATATTTTAGATGTTGTGTTAATAAGATATATTATTAATTTCACCTGTTTCCGTTTACCTCTTTTTAAAAAACTGTGGCTACTAGAAAATGTTAAACGAGGTGGCTCCTACCTGTGGCTCACATCCTATTTCTATTGGATAGTGCTGTTGTATACACTGATGCCTCCCACATTTATATCGCTAGCCTAGACCACTCACTGATGTCCGGATTCGTATATCCAACTATCAACTCAAGATCTCCACTTGGATGTCTTGCAGGCATCTCCAACTCATTAAGTCCCAAACCAAACCCTTGGTAGTCTCCTCCAAACCAACTCCCAATCCCCCAGTCTATTTCATCCTGGTAAATGCCACGATTTTATTTTCTTGGGTCAAAATCCTTGGTGCTATCTTTGACCCCTTTCTTTTTCTCATATCTCACATGCAATCTGTCAGCATGCTTGACACCAAATCCTGTCTGCTCAATATTCAAAATATCCATCCCTTCGCTCTTAATGCTAGGACTTCATCTTTCATGGAAATAATCTCTCCCTCTCACTCCACTCTAGCCTTCCTGGTCTTGATGTCCTGTGAATATGCCAAACATCATCCCATCTCAGGGACTGTGCTAGCTCGTCTTTCTGCCTTCAACCTTCCACTCCCAGACGCCCTCATGGCTTCCTCCCTCTTCCCTTCATGTTGCTGCCTTTTCAGCGACATCTTTCTTGGCTGCCCTACTTTAAGCTGTAACCCACATCCCTACTCCCAGTATTCCCTAGCCCCTGGTCCCTGCTTAATTTTTCTCCGTAGCATTTCCCCCATTTGACATATTAAATTGTGCAGATTAACTGAGCAGATCTGGGTTGTCCAAACCCTGCACATTCCAAAAACGTTTGGCTCTTGCCTGGTTCCTAGAAAGTAATGTCTAGGTCCTTGGAATATCCTGCCTCTTAAGAGTGTCTTGGTTTACCTGGGAGCCTTGGGCCACACCAAACAGTCTATTCTAGCAGTATGATTTATGGTGGGATCCTTGGGCCATGCAGTAGCAGCTTGACCTCTGGAGGGGCTGGAGACTGAGTAATTAAAGTCAGCTCTGCCTACGTGACTGACCCCCAGTAAGAACCCTGGACACTAAGGCTCAGGTGAGCTTCCCTGGTTGGCAATACTCTGCGCATATTGTCACACTCCATTGCTGGGAGAATTAAGCTCTGTCCACATGACTCCCCTGGGAGAGGACAACTGGAAGCTCACACCTGGTCTCTCCTGGACTTCTCCCTATGCACTTTTTCCTTTGCTGATTTTAATTTGTGTCCTTTCATTGTACTAAACTGTAACTGAGTATAACAGGTTTGCTGAGTTCTGTGTTTTCCTAGCAAATCTTTTGTGAACTAAAATAAAATTTTAAGGCTCACCCCCCACCGGCTGACTAAATGGACCCCCTCGTGGCCAAAGGAATATCCTAAAACTAAATTGCCTGCCAGGAGGAAGGTCAGACATGCCTCATCATGCCCCCCTCCCTTCTTGGGGACATCCTTTGTAACCCATTAACAGGCCTAAGGGTATTGAAGACTAAACTCTGATCTTTTTCTTTTGCTCAAAATTCCTTCCTAAGGAGGCCAGATGGGTCACGCCTACAAATGATAAAATCTCAGTAAACAGGTTTTTCATGACATTGTTGACTTCCCAACCAGATTCTGGTATAACATCATGTAATAGATAAAAGACCCTCAAACATTCCTTTCATCTGATTCCTGGTCTTTTGGACAAAACCTAACTCTTTGAAACAATGGTCAACTAAATCCCTAAATCTGACTACAATTTGTAAGCCCCCACTTTGACATGTCCTGTCTTTTTGGGCCAAACCAATGTATGCCTCCCATGTATTGATTTATGACTTTACCTGTAACCTCTGTCTCTCTGAAATGTGTAAAACCAAACTGTAACCCAACCTCAGCGAGTCCACTGCTCAAGACCTCTTGGGCGTGGCTCCGGGTCATGGTCCTCAAATTTGGCTCAGAGTAAATCTCTTTAAAATTATTTTACAGAGTTTGGTCTTTTTTTCCGTTGACACTTTGAACCTAAAAGTGGTCTTGGGCGTCCCCAAACACACATGTATGTTATATTGCTTTATCGTATTTCTTGTCTGTCTCTCTCTAGTATACAAGCTCCACAGAGGTAGGCATTTTAGTCTGTTTTATTCACTGCAGTATCCCCAGCTACCAGAACAGTGCCTAGCATAGAGTGACTAGCACATAGTAAGTGCTCAATAAATATTTGTAGAATGAATGGATTGAATAAATTTTTAAGTGCTATGCCAGCCAAATGTCTATAGCCATCTAAGTGCCATTGTAACAGTGCAGGTCGTGACTGTATTCTGGGTGACTTTCCAGGTCACTGAACCAAAGGATTTCAGCTTGGGGGCCTGAGTCTCCTGTACTTGCTCCATTAAGTCATGTCCCCTCAGAGAACCTCATTTTCCCTCCCACAAAAATAGGGATGATACTTTTAGCTTAAATAAGTGTGAGGCCCTCATCCTTACATTTTCTATGTAAAAAGTGAGCCACTACAAATCAGGCATCTCTTTGGGACCTTGTTGCCATCAAATCAGTGGGGGCCTTTGAGGATTCTTACACAGGAGAGGTAAGAAGAGGCCACAGATGGGACCCACTGAGAGAGGTCCTAACACTCTTGGCCAGAAAGGGGAAGGACGGAGGAGGAGGCAGGCATTTGATATCTAGATGCAAAATTCATGACTCAGCCACATGTTAGAATTACCTGGGTAAACTGAGGCAGGGGCCATTAATGGAGACTAAAACCTTGGGAGGAAAGACTTGGGAACGTGGCACTCACACCGTCTCGCGGTCTCACAGCACAGACCACATATGGAAACGAGGGAAGAGGGAAAGGTATCTTTGTAGGGGTTAAACCTGGTGGACTCTACCTTAACCAGACAAGTAAACTTTGCCGGCATCAGATGCCCCAAGAGGCGCACAAGGTCCTCTCTGTGACAGTTCTGGAAAATGGGCATAACCTGAATCTAATACGAAGGAAACACTCAGATAAATCTGAGTTAGGGATTGTTGGCAGACTGGTTGGCCTGGGCTCTTCAAAAATGTCAATGTCAGCCGGGCGCGGTGGCTCACGCCTGTAATCCTAGCACCCTGGGAGGCCGAGGCGGGTGGATTGTTTGAGCTCAGGAGTTCGAGACC